GATCTTCAATATCTCCAACAATGTGAAACTGGCACGCACGCTGTCATCTTTCCTCTTCAACCTTGAATTCGACGCATTTATGGGAACCGCGTTCATCGGACTTGACTTACACGCTCTGAGGCTATTCCATTCACTAATTTTTCACGCTGCAATGAATGTTGTTCACAAGCCCAACGAGCTATAACCCACGTTCTGCGCGCCACTTCACCCAAAAGCAGCTACACATAGGACTTGACCTACTTCTACTTCACGCCTGGTCCTGAAGGTAAATCACTTACTCAGCAATAATTTCCGGAACCGCAACATGCCAACAGCAAGTGGAATCACTGAAGTTCAGCGGTGGATCCTATCAATAACGTTTTTCATCTTCTAACCTCCAACTCAGACGTATAGTATGGTAGCAAGCAGCTTCTGAGGAACATTGGGCGTGAACGGCGGTAAGCATAAGAAGTTTGTAACCATCCAACTGTTACAGATAAATAAAATTAGTTGGTTTTTACAATTTATTTGCAGGATGAAACAAAATTACGGGCAGACTCTCTAGCACATCACTGTTAAAAGCTGATTGTCGTTCAAACTGAAATACAGTTCCTGTGTGTCTAATCAGTAACATGTACTTCACTCGCCGTACGCCGGCTCTTCGCAATCCTGTCCTCTGTTGGCAGCGATCTTCAGATTACCAACTGGTCGCCCATCCCCCCTATTAATGCGGTTAAACTTGGCACTCTTTCTTTTCTTCCAAAAGCACGGCTTGCGTTAGCTCACGCTTGAAGGTCACAGGAAACCCACTATCCCAAACAGCTGCCCCCAAATACTGGACGGTGCTTTTTCGGTCAAGAATTCAACCAGTCTACCGTTCAATCAACTTTTATTTGTGTATTACTCTCGCGACCTTGCTCCCCGATGGGATCATATCCCCTTAGTCTATCATCGAACCTGTCGTTTGGTCATAATTGATTAATATCTCGGCATTACTGCCCTGTTTTAACCACTGTCGACTGCCATCCACTGGCGGAGTGTACAAAGCTTCTTCCGATGGCTCCCGTAAAGCTAATGGTTGCTTGTTGAAGCCAATCGTGTGGCTACTTCACTGGTCTTTACCATCGCTCGTGGTACCACACCCCTATCTCAGCCCCACTACATACACTCGCTGCCACATGGCAGCGATACATCGGCACAAAATACTGATGAAATGTTGGTACCATCTTTATAGCTCTCCTTTGATGTTAAATTTGGGGATGCCCACTCCAGATAAACCTGCTGTATCTAGCATACCATTCACTTGTGAACTTACTGAGGCTGGACCAAAAGTCGGGTAGAAATCCATAGGAACCCCGAGTGGCTTCGGATCTTGCAGCTTAATTACGTCACACTACACGCCTCTTTGCACCTGCAGTCCTCTATCAGGAAACATGTGACCAGTTTTGTTCAGTTCATCCTGCCTACTATGATCCGCGCACCAAAGTGCGGTGACGCAGTTGCGTTGACACACACCGTCAAAATAATAATGATAATAATAATAATAATAATAATAACTAGGTATGTTTCCCGACGGGCGGGAACTTACTTCATCAGATGGAGTAGTCAAGATCCAGGGGTGAAGAAAGGGGTGCAAGTGCTGCACTAACCACATGATCGCGTCATATCCCTCTAGATGTCCAAACACTGATGTGGCGGTTTCCGAAGACCTCATCCAGGCAAGTTCCAAGCACAAATCCGACTTAGCCCGTTTATGGATTTTTTCCATCCTGTTTTGTCACCTCATCAACCATCTCGGGGTTTCACTCGACTTGGCACGATATTGGCGAACGATGCACCCCGTGGTTGTCGACGTGGTCATGAGGAGCACATGACCGAGCCGACGAAGGTGGTTGGGTTTCAAGTGGCGTTCCTGTGATACATCTTGGCATCTTATCAAAAACCGCATGGCGAACTTCCGCATTCATCACTCAGTTGTCCCACGAGATATGAGCATTAATTCCGCAGACGGCGGTGGTCAAACTTAATCAGTCTCCAGAAATCCTCTGCATGCAGCCGCCAGACCTCTAATCCATGCGGTAATACTCTTCCCTTGATCATTACGCTTTCATTCCACATGTGACCGAGGTTTGAAAAGCTGCATATGTCTTAGCAATGCGTGCTATTACCTCTTCGGTGCGGGGACCATCAAATGTAGATGAGCAAATTAATCGAAAACTTCAAGCGGTTGCTCGGTGATAGTGAGAACCAACGGTGAGTACGTTCAATTCTGTAACAGCACGTTGCATTTTGGTGGTGCAGAGCAGATGCCGAAACGTTCAGCGCTACGCGTCCGCTTGTTACCTAGCGCTTGTATAGCACCTGCGTCCGACCCAAAGAGAACTATGCCATCCGATTAACTCTTTGTTGTGCTTTGACTGTACAGTAGAACATCTGTTTCAGGAGAATTGAAATTGAATTAGAATTGATCATTTTCAATCACAAATTAAAAAGAAATGGGGCTACCGTGCAACCTTGACACATTCCACTTGTCATGTTGAACACAGCCATAGGAGTCTGGTTACAGAGATTTTGGAATAGAGAAGAATTTCCCCTGTACACCCTCCATAGATCGACATCACCTCAAGCGCAGCAGATCAGCGGAATCAAAGACAGTCTTTAGCCCAAGTATAACCACCATGATAAACTATTTGTAAAAATGTTGATATTCATACACAAGTCAAAGAGTAAAAATATAGCCAACTTGTCCACCGTCGGGGTTTGATCCGGCCTTACTTTCAGATATTTGTTTCTCACGAGGAACATGGAATCACCGCATTATGATGCAAGCCATTAATTTTCAGGCTATTGAGATCTGACTGATACCACGGTGCTTTCCGCATCCCATCCTTTTTCACTTTTGGAAAATTGGGATGGTATAAACAAATACTAATCAGAGTGTACTCTACCCTTGCACCAGATAGTGTCGTACAGAAGCTATGGTGATTGCTAGTGAGTCGTCATTGCCTTTCAGTAATGGTGGCAGAAGGTCATCTGGGCCAGGCACTTTGTTTTGCTTGAGTAGCAGTGATTCGTGTCAGATTTCGTCGGCAGTGACATTTTTATTACCTCAACCTCTCCAGAAGATCCATTCGATCTAATTTACCATTATTATGTACAGCGTCGACTGAATTGCTCTTCAAATTGTTCGGTCCATCGCTCTAGTCGATGTCACTTGGAACGAATCGGTCGTCTATTCATTCCAGCTACTGTTTCGATCATGGGAGCTTTTCTTGGTCGCCGGCCGTTGGTCGAAAGAATCACAAGTCTGCCTTGCAATCCGGAGGTTGCGGGTTCGAGCCCGTATAGCGGACCGGTCGCTGCAATTCGATCTCAAGTCTATCTGCCGACATCGCTGCGCGCTATTCGTTTTGCGCAATTGGGTTGTTTTCACTCAATTACTTTATCGTCATTTTCGTGCAGTTTTGCATATCTCTTGGAATACACTGGTACAAGATATTTCGGGCTAATGTAAACTTGTGCTTTACTTCGTTGCTCGGTCTTTTCGCTTGTACATTTACCTGTTTGTTCTTCGACTAACCGTTCTATGAACAACTACGGGATAACAATTCTTATCTTCCAGCCTTACCGCAGCCAGTTCCTCTCCCAATAGGGAAAGTGCACCCTGCTGCACTAATCCTGGATGACGGGGGGCGATGTTCACCGTCTGGGCGGGTTCGGTCACGATTAATTCCATTTACTATTACATTCTCGTCATTTTTGCATGGCAGAAGACAATTTAATTGCAATTTTTCCACGGTAGCTTGCACACCTCCGGAAAACAACCGGGCTGCGGTTTTATCTTATCGGGCTCCACCAGAGACTGAGCCCATGGCCTCTTGAATCTAGTGACTTACGCCGCTAACACAAGCTACCATCTAGTGGTGTAAGCTACTGACTTCGATATGGATTAGATTCCGTTTCTGTTGGAATCAAGGAATGCGCACTACTGATGGATCACGATAGAGCGAATTAGCAATGTGAAAGGCTTAGAAGCTACAGCGAAAGACACTCAAATAATCACACCAAAAATCTGCTGATCGCAAGAAGATACATTGCTGGACAATATTATTCCCCATGATTAATCACCAAATGGTTTCCACATGAATCATCCAGACACTCCTCCTTTTGATGCGACACCTCCGGCACAGCCGAAACCATGTGCACTCGGTTCCTCGAGTGATTAGGGGTAGAGCACTCACACACATGTTCAGATGTTTCAGAGAAACTTACTTTTTTATTTTTGTCCTTACTAAGTGACCTTTTCATATTTTTGTCACCCAACCGATCTACATGTTATGGTAAATTCTTTTTGATCTAGTTCTTCAGTCCTCACTCAGTCGCACAGGTTTCCACACGTCTGTAAAAGAACCATACAGCGCTGTTTCGACCTTCTGGGTCTCGTCAGTGGTGCGTCTGCCTCATACCCCTACCGGGTTCCGACCCCATGACTTCCAGATGCCAGCAGCTTGTGCCACTAAGCCATGGGTGACGGCCGCGGACCTGCATGACTGACAGTTGACTACGATATAGCGCGGCTCATTCTCCACTGCCATGCCAGTTACGAAGTCTGCAGAGGACAATGGTTGGTCCTGCAGTTTGTAACTGGCATGGCGGTGGCGGATGAGCCGCACTATATCGTAGTCAAATGTCAGTCATGTAGATCGGCTGCCGTCATCCATGGCTTCATGTCAGGAGCTGCTGGTATCCGGAAGTTATGGGGTCGAAACCCGGCAGGGGACCGATAAACGCTCACCACTAAAGAGACCCGGAAGGTCGAACCAACACTGTCTGGTGCATTTCAAGACATGTAGGACCCTGCACAACTAGAAGGGGATGGCGACGAACTACCTCAAAAATTACACCCAAATCCCCTCCTCTCCATAGTGATTTGGTTTTGTTCGGCATTTTGATGTTATTTCAATTCATCAGCCTTTTGTGTACTATGCATTCACCCATTCTCATTGGTCCCCGCTCTTCAGGTTGGTCGCTATGACCTCAACCACCGCGCCGTGGATTACATAATGTTCATCGACGCTCACCTGGTGGCACTGAGTCGACGCGGATTGGTTGGCGTGCGACACATGATGACCAATACATGGCAGGTGCTTATCTTTGTGCTTGCAACCTCACTCTTTATATTTACTTAACACTACTGAGCCATACATCCTTGTGCACATTAATTGAAACAAACTACGATTGTGTCTTTTTTCTATGAATATCATATTTTTATACATGGAAGTTGCCGTTTTGCATTTATTTTTGTTATTTTACTTTGGGAATAGATATTTCATCATTGTGAATCAGACGATGTAATAACTGCGCATGTCTAGTCGTTACATCACCCAAGCTTACGTCATACTTTTTATGGTTAGTAAGGTTTTTGTTTCAACTTCTTGTTTTCTGTGATTCAGTCATTGTTTGAGATGGACGTGACTCCCAGAAGGCGCATGAAGATCGTGACCTTGCACGAACACACAGACAAGACCTGCAGGGACATAGCAAGAATAGTAGGCGTCAGTCCGGCAACCGTCAGCCGTGTGGTCAAAAAGAAAAAGGAAACGGGATGCATTTCGCCAAAACGCAAAGGGAAATGTGGTCCTAAGAGGAAAACCACTGCCAGGGATGACGCTTATGTAATACGGGAAAGTGTTAAACATCCTCGAAAGACTAGTGACGCATTAAAACGTGATTTGGGGGAGAAAGAAATAGAAATCAGTTCTTCAACGGTTCGCAGGCGACTCCTGGAAGTTGGTCGGAAAGCCAGACGGCCTGTGAAAAAACAACTGACAAAAGTAATGAAAGTTAAGCGTTACAAATGGGGACTAAAATACAAAAACTGGACAAAGAAAGATTAGAGAAAAGTCCTAATCAGCGATGGAACCCATTTCTATGTTCATGGTCAGAGAAGTCAGTATGTTCGGAGGTCAGAGGGAGAAAAGATTCGTGATTCCCACATTGACCACTTTGTGAAACACCCACAAAAGCAGATGTTTTGGGGGGTGCTTTAGTTATTACGGCGTCGGCGCCTTGCATCCAGTCCAGGGCATGATGCGCCCTCCACAATATTTTGAAGTTCTCCAAAGAAGAGCTGTTCCAGAACTATAAAAGACATTTCCTGACGGATCTGGCGTATTTCAACATCTTGGGTCCCTGTACCAAACTTGAATTAAAGCTTGCATAAATTTCTCCTTTGTCGTACAGTCCATGCCACGAAGGCGTTGCTTGCAAATAGACCACATATTTTCAATAGGGTTTAAATCTGGTGAATTCCCAGGCCAGTCCAAGATGGTTATTTGATTAGTATTGAAAAAAGTCTTGACCATTTTTGATGTGTGGCAGGGGGCCAGATCCCGTTGAAGAACTGATTTCTATTTCTTTCTCCCCCAAATCACGTTTTAATGCGTCACTAGTCTTTCGAGGATGTTTAACACTTTCCCGTATTACATAAGCGTCATCCCTAGCAGTGGTTTTCCTCTTAGGACCACATTTCCCTTTGCGTTTTGGCGAAATGCATCCCGTTTCCTTTTTCTTTTTGACCACACGGCTGACGGTTGCCGGACTGACGCCTACTATTCTTGCTATGTCCCTGCAGGTCTTGTCTGTGTGTTCGTGCAAGGTCACGATCTTCATGCGCCTTCTGGGAGTCACGTCCATCTCAAACAATGACTGAATCACAGAAAACAAGAAGTTGAAACAAAAACCTTACTAACCATAAAAAGTATGACGTAAGCTTGGGTGATGTAACGACTAGACATGCGCAGTTATTACATCGTCTGATTCACAAACAATGATGAAATATCTATTCCTAAAATAAAATAAAAAATAAATGCCAAATGGGCAGCTTTCATGTATAAAAATATGATATTCATAGAAAAAAGACACAATCGTAGATTGTTTCAATTAATGTGCACAAGGATGTATGTGATGCTGTGTGTCCAAGGTATTGCATGCAAGCCACTGACAAAGTATGTACCGTCTCGGAATGGGGGGATCAGTGTTATCCACTCAGTTGATGCACGTTTTCTATTTGCTCCGTTGTACACTACACCCTTGCCACCTTTAGGCTATCGTCAACGGACATTTATCCATTTAACGGGCAACTAGACAATAAGGTTAGGAACCTGCGTTTTTCAACTGAAATAAAAACATCAACAGGCAAAAGTGTAGTGGCATTCCAATGTGCTGGCGATTCCACGAGCGTTTCCCACCGTGCTTTTCAATCGCAAAAGTCGGTTTTGTAAGCCATTCCTCTCCAGCCGACTACCCATCTCTCTGAGGGTCAGAAGCTAGCGCCAAGGCTAGATTCTGTAAGCGTCAAATAACACCTTTCGCGGAATCGCTGCTTGCACTTTTCAACTTCCAGTGGAATAAAGTCGCCTTCTTACCTTTTCCCATACTCACTACTTCTTAGGCTACTCTTTTATCTTGAGTGTCATTTCCCATTAGGCTTTTCAACGTTCTCATCATGCAGCGTTCGCTGTTGTATTACATTTATTGTATATTTGGATCCCATGTGCAGTGTTGTGACATCTTGGGATTAGGTTCTAGTCACGAAGCCGTTGCGCTTTGTTTGTGTAGTGGTCCTGTTATTGCAACTCCCGAAATTGCAGTATAGTTGCATGACTCTTCTGGAACATTGCTGGTTTGCATGCCTTCTTGATACGCTTTTCTGTCGATTGACACTCCAACCTCGTTCTGAACCAAGAGTATAATGAAGGCCAACAGTTAGCCCAGCCAAACTCAGTCTTATTGTCCCCCTCATGGGGATATTGTAGGAGGAAACCAGCCTTACTCCTATAGCTTGATCGCGTAAGGCATCTGCTTATTGGATTCAAACTCAACTCGATACCCGTAGCGCATCAATGCCGCGTTTTGACTATGACGGAGGGAAACACCATCTTTATTCGGACCGCCCCTGACCGTGCTAGCGAGTGCGTTACCTGCTGCAGTCGAAACACGAACTGGCCATTCTGAACCTTCCAACTCTGCGTGTGATCCACCATTGAGCTCTGCATTCATGCACCCTAGAGATACATGTTTCTTGTTGCCTTGAGGGGCAGGTTATTAAAGTCGAATGATCCAAGCGGCATCCAGCAAGTTGAACTCCATTTGCTCCGTCGTTTTACTATCCAGAGCATTGAGTCAGAAGTTATCGCTGGATACTTTTAAACAAGTAGCTCTCCCTAACTGCGTGGGTACGGAGTATCTTCTACTCACAATTTTCAACTGCCAGTAGTCTCTCTTCTTCCATGTACTCTCTTTTCTGAACCTATCAGGAAAGCAGACGGAAAACCCTTCTCTCAGCTTGTCAGCGGCCACTAGCATGAGAGCCAGTTTATCCACCAGATGTACATTCATTATTCTGCGTTGAACCTCTTGTTGCTTTGTTACTCAACTCCGGGGTGTACAACACTGGGATACTACCGGTAGTAATGCATGGATCTGCAGCATTGATGGGAACGCCGAGTGAGCATCACTGAGGTCTCTGGTGATTCCCTGGAGTCACCTAGGTTAGTTGGGTCATGTTCTTCGCACATCGTCTCTGTGTAGTTGGGCGCAACCACGGAGTGACCAGTCGATGATTTTGCGGAAACTCACGTAAATAGGCTGAGAAGATTAATGATGTCATGTCCGACAAGACACAGTCAGTGAGTCAGTAACTCTTCTTACCATACCTTCTGTACAGAGTTGCTAAGCTATCAATCCGACCCGTTTTAGCAACCCATTTTAACCCTTTTTTCATTCTGTTTTGTCTCACCTAAGCGTCATTGCAAATTAGTGTTATCATACCGACACTAGCCATGGTCATTGTGTCCGCCACTCTTCGGTGCTCGGGTCATTGCGTTGTCAGGTCGATTAACCTGCAACGTTTTACCAAATTATCCATTCCTCGAGGTCAGCAGGCTCTTTACCACTACAAAACAAACAGCAATGTGTACGCACCGAACGTCTCCGCTGCGCATTTGTAAACGCCCTTAGCTTACAGTAACACTGATTTACCCACATCGGTGTTGTGCGTCCTGCACTTATTCGAAAAATGATTCGTCTGCATGTGATGCTGCTAACTTTGGAACTCTATTGCTCCTTTTGATCCGCACAACAGCCCTTTGCTGTTCCAACCACAGGACATGATATAACCACTACCTAATTGCTGATGGTGTTCGTTTACTCTTGAACGGTCTTTTTCTCAATCTAACTTTTCTACACATTTCTGTTCTTTCCGCTGTTCCGTAGGTGTGGAGCACAGTGCCCATTCTGAGCTACGGTGTCGCTGCCTCTGAGCTCCTTCTTCTTGGCTGCGCGAACGGTCGCATTTGTAGTATCAGTAAGTTTATCGCCTTCTCTGTCCTTCAGCGTTCCGGGTATCCTGACCTCGCTTGTTTTAATCTCCACCTTATCTGTTGCAGACATACAAAAATTCCCCTTACGTATCGTGGACAATGACCTATTGGTAACGGAAATGTACCGCGACCCTTTACAAGATCCGATCACTGCTTTGAGTGTGCACTTGACAAAAACAGGTATGCACTGCACTTCTATTTGTCGTTTCTCGTCACCTTACATTTTAAAAAGCATTGTTTCGGCCGCATTGTCACAACGACTGTCTAACCTTCGGCTAACCGCGGTCCACTTCATTTCACTTAGACACTCATGACCCATGCGCGAAAACGCGATGCGTCTGATTACCAAACAAATTTCTGATGCTCTGGCCACCGCAGAGGATAATCAACGGTGCCCTATCTGCTGCATCGAGCAGGGTGGATAGGGGTTTGGATGCTACTGCTCAGGCCCTCCCCTTCTTGCGCTTTTTCACCCTTATCGTCCCGTTCCAGCTTTACTTTTATCCCCCCTGTTTTTCAACCCCCCAATTCTCGGCCCTCCCCCACCTTGCTTCAATAGTCGCTTGTCTTTTAGTTTCAACTCACAGGTGAACGCAGAGCGTCATTCCTGCACTGTCAACAGGCCCATGTCCAAGCAAGCGGCCCATTCCAGTTCATCGGCTTCCGTTTGGAGCCTTCGATCCTCCTTCAGACTGGCATGCCTCAATGTTCGCACATTGCTTCAGATTGGTCAACAGACAGCACTTGCCCGAACATTAGAGACCCTCTCGATCGATATCTGCTGCTTATCGGAGACCCGCCTGCAAGACTCGAGCTCTGTACTCACTCTGCGATCCCCTTCAGGTGACACTAGCAGCACTTTCTCATTGCGCCTATCCGGTGAGGATGCAGCTTCGAGCACCGGCCAAGCCGGTGTTGGTATTGCCCTGAGTCCCCGGGCTGAAGCTGCTCTGGTTGATTGGATTCCAATCAGTAGCTGGATGTGTGCGGTCCGATTGGCTGGCTCGTTCAAAATTTCGAAGTCGCGTGTGACTAACAGGTGTCTATTCGTTATCGCTGCCTATGCACCGACAAACTGTAGCGATGACTCGGTAAAAGACGACTTCTATCGCCAACTGAACGAACTCCTTCGCCACAGAAGAAGCTCGGACACTGTAGTGTTGGCTGGGGATATGAACGCTCAAGTTGGAAAATTATCCGCAGATGAGCTGCATCTGGGCGGCCAACATGGTATAGGCTCCCGTAATGATAACGTTGAGCGGTTACTTCATTTGTGTGAGGATGCTCGCTTATTTCTTGCGAGCACTAATTTCCGACACAGCACCCGCCGGAGGGTGACTTGGCGCCCGCCAGCCTCGAACCAGCTATGGACGCAAATCGATCACATTGTGATAAGTTACCGATGGAGAGGCTGCGTCCAGAACTGTCGCTCGATTTGGAGCACAGGTGTTGACACCGATCATGCACTTGTATGTGCTGACCTGCGGATGCGCTTTGGCGGACGCCCGCGACGATGTTGTGAGAGCATTGACACCAGCCAACTGATAAAGCCATCTGTTCTGAACGCCTATCAAATTACGCTGTCATCCGAGTTGGATAAACGCTCACTGGATGCAATTGAAGCTCACTGGTCTCATATTCACCAGACCTTACTAGCAGCAGGCAAATCCTCATGTGGTATGTCTAATCGCCAACATGAACATTGGGTCTCTTTCACCAGTCTACTAGAGGAAACTTGTATACCGCATGCTTCGCCCGCCGAATGCCCATCTATCGGCCCATTTGGAACCCCCCCCCCCTCCCCGCGAACCACAATGCGAAACTCAGCACCTCCTCAAGACCGCTGACTCCCCCCCCCCAAGGCCCTCGAGAAAAACATTCCGTAGAAATAGCCCCCCTCCACCCTGGAAGACCGAAGACCGCGAAATCAATCTCCTCGGTTCGGCTCTCGTCGTTACAGAAAGCCAACCCAGAGGATCGGGCAAAATGGGCCGCTGCCCTTGGTTAACCATCTGTGAGTTATTCCGTCTTATACGTGGTGTGACAAACCTGTTCGGCAAGCAGGAGGAACCTGGTGTTAGTGAAAACTATACGTGCGAGACCGTGGACAGCCCCATCCACCCTTTATCTAATCAACCCTCCGGCCCCGTCCCCCCCCTCACCCCTTGTTCTCCTTTCTCCCCCCCTCCCCCCCCCCTCTCGCTCGCCTACTGTGTCCCTCACTCTTTCGCCCTCTCTTCTCCCCTCCCACCCCCTGTTCGCTTCCTCCCCACTCCTCCCCTCCCCCTCCTCCCCCTATCTTCTTCCTACCCCTTTCATCGAGGACGTCCCCAAAGCTACCTCTGAGCACTTTGGAAAGGCCCAATTTAATCGGTCGGAAATTATTTAGATTTCTCGCCAGACGACCAGTGAGCGGCCTTTACTATGCTCCGTGGTGCTGTTTCCTCTTGGATCCACCCTCACTCGCTCAGAGAGTCGAACATTGGAGATAA